ATTGTGTTGTAAGCTCCGATTCCAAAAAAATCTTCAAGAACCTCTTGAGTCAAGTGAGCAATAATAACTGACTCCATTAGTGCACTATTTGATAGATTGAAAAACCCAAAAACCAATTGAGAACATAGTCACAATTAGTTTTTATTTTGTATTTATTTATTTAGAAATATGATAATATGTCGTGTGTTCAGTAATTATAGTGATATATACGCATTCCTGAACGATATATACGGAAAATATAAAATTAACAAAAATAAATTAATAATTGAATATTTAATAGTTGACCGTTGCATTATAAAGGAAGGAGATGGTCCGTGGTGGAGGTCATAATAAATTATGACCTCCACCACGGACCATCTCCTTCCTTTATAAATTAATAATAAAAAACTATGTACAATAAAAAATAAAATAACCTAACAATTAAATTAAATACAAAATTATCGCTTCATTATGAAAACCTCCGACCCAACACAATATCCAGGAAAGTCTGAAGCCTATGAACACACACACTCATGTTTATGTATGTATATATATAAATTTGTGCGTGAGTGTACACCCATTCGTTCTCAATCACCTTATAAAATTGGTTCATTAGTGGAATTGAACCCACACTCAAAAATGCTTTGGATTTAATTACCAGGTGAAAATAATTGCTCTCCTCAAGAACGCTTTGATTTCCTCTTAAGGTACCGCTGTATTGCTAATTACATTCAAGAAATATTCCCTCTGCAATACGTCATTTCCTCGATTATGGTTATTTCGGAAATTAAATACACCTGACCAATGTTTCTTCTTTTTCGGGGAACAGACTTTTTTTTAGATTAATAACCACCTCATAAAACATCATAAATTGCTTCATCTTATCATAACTTGTTACCTAAAACTTAAATTAATTAAAACTTAATCAAATTATTTTATTTAATAAGATACTTAAAACTCACACAATAAGATACTAAAACCTTACATTTTGATTGGTGGAAGGAAGGAGGAGCGATTTAAAAAATAAAAAATAAAAATGACAATAGTTCCATATTATTTGTTCAAATTCAACATAACGAACAAATATAATATTGGATATTTAAAAATAAATTTATATATACGTTTAGACAGTTGTAGGATTTTTTTTATGTGCTTTTGGATATACTTGTTAATAAATAAACAAAACAATTGGATATATTGCAATTTGTACACATTAAACTTGATAGAAAGCTTCTAAAACGTAGATACATTTCCATTACTTTTTCAGCTAAAAATGAGTAATGTTAAAAACTGAAAAAGGTTTTTGAATTTTGAGTTTGTACAACCTCTAAATAAAAATAAAACGTTTTCACAATGTAACTAGTTTTGTAAAAATGTCTTTAAAAACCATTCACTATTAAATATATTTATACTTATATTTTTTAAATATATTTTCCAACATCATAACAGAAAATTCATAAGAAAATCACGTGAATTTGGAGATGTCCACATGAAAAATGAATGATTCATAAAATAGAAGAATTGTTCCCAATTTAAATTTAACCAAGGAAAAATGAAAATTTAAATAATAGGAATATTTAGGTCAACATAAAATAGTTACGTAGCTACTTACTTCCTCCCATTAAAATACTTTCAAGGAGAGGTTGAGAAAATGGGGTCACCAATTTTAATGAAACTGGTGATACTAGGTCTAAAATATACTGGAACCATGTTCGAGAGTTCTTGCCAATGCATCTTAAGAGCCCAGATTTTTTTATAATCAAACTACCACCTCCAAATCATGCCATTTCCCGCACAAATTTTTGCTTAAAATCTTTATTTTGTATTAGGAGAGTAGGAGGTAAAAGGAGCTGTTTGAAATACAAAATTAACATATGTAATTAAATGAACAGTTGTATAAATTGTAAAATAATCGGCTTATAAGTTGAACTCCTATAATCTCTTACTCACCTTATACTAAAATAAAATAAAATATGAAAGTCACTGAAATGTTTTTTATATAATAGAGAGATATATAGAAATTCGTGTTTATGAGTTTAAAGATCACTGAAAACTATTCCAACTTCCTTCTTCATAACAAAACTTAACTTAGCCAATAATGAAACATAAATATTAGAATTAGAAGATAAGAACATTTAATTGATCACCGAAATTTAGTTTTATTTTTATAATTAATTTATAGAAAAAAAAAGTTAAACAAGATAATAAAATGAACCTCAGAACGTTTTCACCTTCTAATAAAATCTACTTTTAATACTGTTTACAATGCCATCTCAATTTATAAAGGAAAAATTTAATAATAATATTTTCAGATTTTAAACAAGATTAAAAAAAAAAAAAAAGAATAAACCTCAGTTTCATTTTCTCATTTCCCTCGTGACGTCAAATTAAATTCAAGTTCTTGACAGTTTACCACCTGAGAAAGAAAATTATAATTTAGTCTCCTTTTGTAATTTTCCCACCCCTCCCCCCTGTTGATTTTTTTTATTTATTTTATTTTAATAGAAACTGAAGTCGGAGTTTCCACTTCTTTTGAAGTTAAATAAAACATTTGGTAGTACGAGGGAAACTTTAACAACTAGGGCTTCTCGTTCTTCGGTCAAAAGCTACCTTATATAATGTGAAAGTTTGTGTACTTTTATTTCTCTAGATTTTATTAAATGTTTTCAGCTTTCATAGCTCTTATAACCTGATTAAAATATTATTAATGAAATAAGTACTTGCTTCTACCGTCTAAATAAATATATTTAAAATTGAATTAATAACCTTATTATTTTTTTTATATAAGAATGTATTTGAACCTTTCAATATTTTATTGAAAATTAGAAAATGTGCTGGAGAAATAAGAAATAATGTCTTGTCAGCCAAGGGGAAGAACAATACTGAGCAACACCTCTTCCCTGACATGTTTCAATTACTTAGGTTGTTTAAGAAAGGAGATCTCTCGTCCAACGCCTTTTTAGTCTCCTCCTTATATTAAGGGTTACGCCAGCTGTGGCTATGTCTTCTATTATGTCATTTTAATTAGTGTTACATCGTTAGTAAAGCGGCGTTTGACAACTGTAGGTGAATAATAACCTTAAAAATAAAAAAACCTTATCAATTAAAACAGTCTATTGGTACCTATCTAGCATATTTTTACATATACTTTAGAATGAAACACTTATACATAAAATACTTATTTTGCATGACTTATGTTTTTTTTGTATGAGTATGCTTATTATTTAATATCATATTACCTATTATAAATAAAAATATACAATATTTGTTTTAAATAAATAAAACTTGAGGGCAGAACTGTTAATCACGTTTAAAAAAAAAATTGTGATTTTTGAAAAAATATAATACTTTTCTTTTTAATATTAAATGAAAAAAAGTTGTTATTGTCACTAGGGAATTGGACTAAATAGATTTCTCTTGCTGTGATGGATAATAACAGAGACCTATTTAGTGATTTGTCAATTTCAATCCCATCGATTGTAAACTGGACAGTTAGGTTAAAAGTATATCACTAGAAGCAAAAAGTTTTTGTTCAAAAAGGGAATTTGGAAATGGATCATATAAAATCCCTTTTATTATATATTATATTTATTCTAAATTTATGCTAAAAGACATTGGTGGTATCGGTTATCTGTAGAGAGGATCGGCAAAGATCGGGTGCTGTTTCCGTATTGCTTCCAACCCTTATTTCTCCTTTAGTTGCAAAGTAATTTCCTTCATTCATTATTTTTAACCATTTTTTATATCATATATCAATGTGAACTAGTTAATTTTAAAATAAAAAAAGGTTAATGTACGAAATTTTGAATTTTGAATTAGACAAGGTATACATTGTATTAAAAAACACTTAATTATACTCTGTGTTAAATAATGAATTTAATTAAAATCTTTTTAGCCATTTTCTAGAAAAATGTGTAAAATCGATGATATAAAGTTTTTTATATAAATTTATATATAAATATAAATTTCGATCACCTCTCACAAAGCAGTGTGAGTAGGTATATTTTTTTATTGTTTTTGTTATCTTTTATCTTTTCTATTCATAAGAGTGTAATTTATTTAATTTTTTCTGCATTTTCCTCTCTATGTGGATATATATATGTGTGTGTGTGTGTGTGTGTGTGTGTGTTTTTCTTTTTCTGCTCGTAATCTATTGCGTCATAGGTAGATCACAATACTTGTCTACTTTTTCACAATACCTTCACATATTTTCACTTAAACGTCTTAAGGAACATATATAAATCATTTATTTACTCTAGTTATTTTCTTTTATTCTTATTTTTATTTTTTTTATTATATTGTAGCACTAAAATTGGTTACCTATAAAACTTATTTAGCATTTCTTTCCAATTTTATTTAGCTATAAGTATGTTGTTGTTTTTCCTACCAATATTATAATATTGTAACCGTTGTACCCATCTGCTTCCCTTAATATACCCTCCAAAACTATTTATATACTCATTTTATTACTTAGATTGTAGTTACTCTTTATTATAATAGGTCATCTGGCCAGATTTATTGTCAATTGGTTTAAACAATATTGTTATTCTCAAGGGACCTAGTCTCAGAATAAAGATGATTTTCTATTTCTATTTCTAAAGTGACACTTCAAATTTGCAAATTTAAACGAAAAAGTTGCTATTATATCCCAGGCTAGTACAAACCTTAAATACTCAATTTCAGTTGCATACGATTTTTCGTTTTTGAGCTAGACTGTTAACACACAGATCATTTTGCAGGATTTGTTTATTTGGACTCAGGGGACCTCAAAACATGTAAATCCGTTCAAAACTGATATTAGAAAATTTTCACGATTGCTTTCTTTTTCTATATATTACATATATAAATAAAATTTAATTCAGGATAAAGAAAAAAACATTTTGACTTTTATTACATTTTTCAAGTAAAAGATTTTTATTCGAATCCTACAAGCTTGAATGCCTGAACAAATTTAAGTATTCCACTGAATTTTCCAAGTCGGTTGGGTTCCAAAAAAAACCATTTGCTCGCGCCACTTTGCGGCCCCGCTAGACTCAAGTTTGCTAAGCTGTTGCCTTAGCACTATTGGCCATCATAACCTCAAAATTACTTTTAACTTGATTCCTGGATACTGAAGGTACTCTTTACCTGTTGCAGACACTACGGTAGAGACCAGGTATGAAGACGAATCTCCCAGCGAGGCCAGTTCTCCCACCGCTAGGACCGAGACCAATTACCGGGGCATCCACATCACCTTCCCCATGCAGAGGAAGGATCTGGACCATCTGATAGAGTCCTTCAGGAAAAAGAAGGTAAGTCATTTTTAATGTCAAAATGTAGAGAGCAGGGTGGCCGAATGGTCTAACGCGTGTGTGCAGCACCTCGCGTTACCCGGCAACCTGATAACCGAAGTTAGAGATGGAAAATTAATTATGAGTTCAAATCCCGATGCCCGGTGGGACTTTTAACTCTGAATAATTTCCCTCTCTCCCTCCCGGCACAAAGGCAAGGAAGGGGAGAGCAAAAAAAAAAAGTATTAACAACCTATAATTTTTTTAATGATGTAGAGCTGGTTGACCGTTGATATAATATGAGAAGGAGTTAGTCGAGGGTGTGGTCAAATAAATAAAAAAATTAAAATATATTAATTATTTTAATTTTTGCCGACGTTTCGACCCATTTTGCAGGTCATCTTCAGGGCGTAGGATGTGGCACTGCGGGCAGTTGAAATACTGCTAACGTCGGCAAAAATTAAAATAATTAATATATTTTAATTTATTTATTTATTTGACCGCACCCTCGACTAACTCCTTCTCATATAATTTTTTTTAGTTATTTATATATGCAGTAATCTAATGTGAGGACGAACAGCAACAAATATAAATAACATTGTTTAATTTACTATGCCTTCCACAGCTGTCAGGGATATTCTATAATAATTCTGCTTTAATAGCTAGTAATCATTTATTGCTGTGGACTGTAAAGTAATGAATTGAGTGGACTAAAAAAGTGATGATGTAAAATTGATTGCTTTATTTTATAATTTTGAATTTTATACAGGGGTTAAATGTAGGTCGGTTGGGATACTTGCATTTTTTCTTTTCTTCTATTTGCCAGACTTCTTGTTCATCTCCTCTTTCTTCCCTTCTTGACCCCTTGCCGACCGATGTAGTTTTTTACTCCATGTTCAGCAAATCAGTGGAATTACGAATTTTCTAACTGGCCAGTCTAGTCAATCTCTTTCGCTACTTGAGCGTCTAAGCTTCAGTAATGGTGGAGCCACAAACATCTGAGGTATATATGCAGTATATTCGAGATCACAGCTGTATTGTTTTTCTTGATTTAACTTAAATGGGAAGTTTGATGTAATCCATAAACAAACATAATTAGATGTTTTCAAAGTTTAAGACAAAGGAATATGCTAATTTTTTTTATTTATTATAATCTATCGGATAGCTAAAACTTAGCTAGTCTTCTTTCGCTACATCTAAAAATTAATATAAATTTCGGAAACAATTCATTGTATCACCTCAAAAAAATTAATAGATTTTATCGATTATAAATTTACAAAACAGTAGCTTTTTAAAAGCTTTTGAAAGTTTCGACTTCTGTGATTTATCAAGTGAAATTACTTTACATTTTAGTGATTAGAATAATTTAAATTTATTATGCCAATCCCTTTTATTTCTATCTGGAATATTGTTCTAATAATTTTGCTATTCTTTGCTCATTCTTATTTAATTGTTGTATGACTAAAGGATTTGATTGACTACAAGTAAAATGTGACGTTAAACTGATTAATACATTTTAATATATATTATAATGTTGTAGTTGTATGGCCAACTTTATTATAATGTTGGTTAATGGGTTAATCGATAAATTTTGATGTAAATTTAATAAACTATTGCTTGATTTAATTTTATAAACTAAACTATGGTATACATGTGGTTTTTTTTTTTTCTTAGTTTTAATTTCCTTATTTTTTAGGTTATTTTATTGTTTTTAGGTTATATGTACATATAGTGTGAATGTCATCCTACCTCACTATAACCAATGTCCAAGAGACAGATTGTTATAATACTCAATAAAGAAATTAAAAAAAAAAAAATTATAAACTATATATTGTTAGGTTGGTTGGTGGCTAAATTAACTAACTTGCTGTTCCTGTCTCCATGGTGTTTTCATTCTTCCAAGTCTTAAGACCCTACCTGCTGGGCCGCTAGAGTTCACCACTTATTTTTCTTTTTTTAAAAAAAGAAAGAAATTCTTCTGCATGCAAGCTGACAATTTCACTGCTATCTTAAGTGCACATGAATCCTTGCTATCTGGGGCAAGTTGAGACTTAAGGGGTCTATCAAGATCTGCTTCTCTCTCCTGTCAAGAGATGGCTGCAGTGATGCTTACTTCAATTTAAATTATATATGATAGGAACTTTGCTATGGTCCCTTAATAGAATGTAAATACCAAAATCCGATCAATTAAGTTTATTTAGAGAGACTCTTTTAGTTTTTATGAATGAATTTTTATAAATTAGAGCAGAGAGAGTATCGTGTTGGCAGCCGTTGACATCACGCTACAGTGAATTCAGTCCACGCCCCTCAACCACACCACACCTTCGATGAACACTGCATTTCAAGTTTTTTTTTTTATAAAAATCCTATGTTTACTATTTAAAATGTTCGATCTCAATCTTATATACGTTCATTACCGTTTCAATTCTATTACAGCTCAAATTCACACGATTTCATTTTCCTTAAGGAACCCCTATAATTACCTTATGAACATTCACCCCTCTACATAATATGCAGGGTGTCCCGTAAGTAGAGGAAGTAGAGAAATATTTAAAGGGGTAGAATATCTTAAGAGCTACAAAAATGTCTTTATAAATAATGGACCCATTTTTAGCAGAAAAGTATGAAATTAAAGTTTTATGTTTTTTTTAAGTAAGTCCCAATTGATTTGAAAGTAGAGTTTGTCCTTGTTAAAACAATTCAAAGAATATTTTTAAGCGGTTAAACTAACCATTTATACGTGATAAGCTAAATGTTCTTGACCCTAATATTTATGATTTCATGAAAAAATGTATGCAATCAACAGATTTCTTTATTTCAAACATACATTTTAGGACTAGAAACGTTTATTTTGTCACTATAAATATCGATTAATTCTATTAATTGATATCTTAGGAAAAAATGCATTTTCATTAATAATTTGGATAATGAATAATCAAAAAATAATTATTTTTAACATTTTATTAGAAATAATCAGTGTGTTTATGCATTCGTATTTATTATCATACATTCCAAGTCATCGAAAAAAAAAATTAAAGATTTGCTATCGTTTTTGTAGTCATTTTTACTGAAAGCATGGATATTTTAAGCGGTAGGATATAGAATCACATATTTGTTTACACAAATTGAGGTGAATATCAAATTTTTTCCTAATAAACCTCGGCTTAATTCTATATGGATTTGATGCTTATTAAACAAGGAAGTTTTTTTAAAATAGCCGAAACCTAACCCATATAGACTATAACAGTTGACGTAGGCAGGTCCGCCAAGTGCATAAAAAATTACTTATTTTACTAAAAAGGTCAAATTAATACACTTAAATTATATAATATGAAACAACAGCTGTATTTGGAAGAACTCGACCGGGCCGACAAGTGCAGTGAGGGCAGTGGCTGCTCCAATCAGAAGAAATCCGATTCGAAAACAGCAAACCATGTCTCGGTAAATCGAAATCTCTGTAAGATCAATGTATCGCATATTAAAAAGTGCCTTAGAATGGGCGAATTTCGAAGAATGACAGGACAAAGTCTAACCACTTTCTTAAAAAAAAAGTAGATTGGATAGATACAAAGTGCTCCTTGGCCGTTACACCATTGGTCTTCATCGAAAGATTTTGTTTAGCGATGAGAAAATGTTTGAAGAAAAATGTAATCGCCAAAATGATCTTGTGTACGCACACAACTCTAAAGAATCCCAGGAAGTCATTGGAAAAGTGGAAAGTGGTCATCACCCTTCCTCAGTGATGGTTTGGTTGGGAATTTGCTTAGATGGCACCACAAATTTCCATTTTGGTGAAAAATGAGTTAAAACAGCCGCTAAAAACTATCAGGACGACATTTTGGAATTTCTTGTCAAGCCTCTAACTGATAGTCTACTTGCTGGAAGTCATTGGGTTTCCAGCAGAATTCCGCTCCAGCTCAAGGCCAGGTCAACTCAGGAGTGCCTACAAAAGAACATTCCAGAGTTCATCTCTGCCTCAGATTGGCCCTCAGGAAGCCTTGATCTCAACCCACTAGATTATCGGCTTTGGTCCAAACTGGAGATTATGGCGTGTCACAGAGCACACCCTAACTTGGAAAGCCTCAAAATATCTCTGATGCGAACAGTTGAGCACTTTTCTCAAGACGTGCTGCCTGCTGCTATTGATGACTGGTCACGAAGATTAAATACATGTGTCAAGATGAAACGGAGACATTTTGAGAAATTTTTACTCTGTATGGATATACACTTTATTTTCTAATAAAGGTTTTGAAAAAATTAATTTGGTTCGTTGAAATCTTTATATATTTCTTGTAAAAATAATTATGACAGGACTAGGTATATTAAAATTTGTTCAAAATGGCTATATGTTTACGAACAATAGCATCATTATTATTGCCTACATATATTTGATCTCAATATGACAAAGACAGCATAACAAGGAAAAACCTATAACATATCGCAAGTTTGTGAGATATCGTCAGGAAAGTATTAGATGGTAGGCCGCTAAGCAGAGGATTTGTGACTAAGAGAATAGGGAGATAAAACAGTTGAGCTGTTGGAGCAAATCGGTTCGCTGCCTCTTGGGATAATGGCTTCTTCGCCTTCCAGCCTATCTCTAATTGCTCTGGCTAATGCACTCCTAACATCTTAGCAAATGAGTACACTTCTACCTTCAACAGTCGTTCGATATATACTCCAGTTGGATCCAGTCCAACATTTCGATAGCGATTCCAGACATTTTCCTCTTTATCGCTTCTAAGTAAAACAAAAAATATACATGGTTTCCTGTAAGTAGGGGGAAATAATTAAAGGAGTGACAGCTGACTTCAAGAGCTACAAAAAAGTTAAATAAATAATGGACCGATTTTTAGCAGGGAAGTAGAAAATTAAAGTTTTGTGTTTTTTTAAGGAAGTCACGTTTTTTGTTGAATAACCGATAACTAAAAAACTATTTAAGTAATTAACAATTGCTTCACTATATATATATTTCTTCTTTTTTTTTGTAATTGTTTCTGAACTATATTATGTTTTGCCTTATT